TACGAACTTTTTAATATTTTGAAACTGTCTCAAGATCTGACCTTTTAGAAATGAAACAAAATCTATGCATAGCGTAATGAGGATTTAAATTAAAATAATCAATCAATGAAAAAAATCCCGATAAAGTAATTTGCCTGGGAGCCTTTGCGTTTTTTTGGTATTAGTCACATGACTATGGGCGTGGCCTGATGACGTCATCATTAGTGTTGCTGATCATGAAAAAGTTAAAGCACATGAAATAACTCTGAAGTAACTAAAAATCACGAGGTTATATGACAATAAATTTTCCCTAGCAACGGCTCGAAAAGATCGGTTAATGGGCCCTTCAGACTGAAGTGCCACCCCCATTTACAGGCCATTGAATTGAAATTTCCCAACTCGTTTACTCTCTCTTTTTCACTATCAGATTCTTCACGGTGCTTTCCCTTGGGCTCCAGATGGATCTAGACAATACCCAGAAAACGTTCGTTGCTGCTATAAGGCGATACAGGAAACCACACCACTTGTTTTGAACGCGATTAAATTGGCTCCGGTGAGGCCTGGGACCGTATTTACTATTGTTGACTACGGTTCAGGAGATGGAGAAAACTCCATGGCTCTCTTTTACGCATGCGTTCAAGAGCTGCGCAAACTACATGGAGACGACCTGCCTATCCACGTGATTTATGAAGATCAGCCTGTCAATGATTTCAAGTCTCTGTTTCTTCGTTTGCAAGGTAAGGTCGTCAATTGTAATCATAAATTTTAACATGACCCACTTTCTCTTTTACCAGTTAAAGGAGCTCACTCACGGCATTTTGAGCAATTATGACCTCGTACAAAACTATCTTTAAATTGCAGGAAACCTAAAAATAATAGTTTATTGAAATAGAAAAATACCAAGGCGATAACAATAAACTATAAAGGAACAAGGATGGTTAAGGATGGAGAAGATTGACACGGATTACAAACGACGAATTTGAAAAATTTAGGCTAAACTTTTCAAGATGCACAAACCGTGACGTAGCCCCTGTAACCAAGAAGGACCACAAATATTGTATTCCTTCTTGTTAATCGTTTTTTGGTTCGAGCTGTGATTGGTTCACAATCCTGACTACATTTTTTTGACAGCATAGAGTCAACATGTAGTAGAATATCTACTTTTGGAACCTCCAAGGAAAACGAAAATTGGTTTGAAAAATAGCGTAGTTCGAAGGTTGTGGGTAAACTTATAGTGTTCAACTGAGGAAAGAGAGACCACCTCTTGCTCGTGTTGACGGGAGGCACTAAGTTCGATAATCGGGTTTTCACTACAGCTTTGTTTTTACAACTGAAGCATTAGTACTAGCGCTCGCAATTAGCAGTCCCAGGTGGATGCCATCTCCTGCAAGAGATTAAGAGATTGCTAACTTCCAATTCCAATTTCTCTTCCAGGCTTAATACCAGGTCCAAAAAGCTATCTTACTGACTTTCCTAACGTGTTTGTCTCGGCTTGTGGAACAAACTTCTTCAGGCAGTGCCTCCCCTCGCAATCAGTCAATTTAGGATTTTCTGCCACTGCCTGTCACTGTTTGAGTAGAAATCCATGCGACATTACAGGAGCATTACACCACAACATGATTACAATACCGGAGGAGGCTGAGGCTTTTAAAAAACAAGCAGCGAAGGACTGGGAAACAATTCTGCTAAATAGAACAAAGGAGTTGTGTCCAGGTAGTTCGCAGTAACTTTTATACAGTTTCAAATCCTATTGCACAGCTGGCATAGCAGACGTCTTTCATATACATTACTTCACAAATTGGCGTCCGTTTTACATGCGTCTGTTCTGTCATTGATCATGAACTTCGTCACAACATTTTCAAAGTAGTTGTGGATCCTCGGGGCGATAGCCGAGTGGATTGGAGTGGATAAGTCTGTGTATATTGATCATTTCAGCAGATAGCATTTAGCAATTTTGCACAGAGATTTCGGGAATGAAATTTTTCAAGGTAGAAACATCAACATCAACTCGGAAAAAAATTTTTTTCCGAGTTGATGTTTCCACCTTGAAAAATTTCTACCTTGAAAATTTCCTCATAATACTCATTTCGGGAATGGTGTTCTTATCTGTTAAATTTTCGACCCAATTCTTAGGGAGTCGAATGATTCTTGTTCAGCTTGCCACTGACAAAGAAGGGCAATACACAGGAGCGTCAAAAAGCACGCCAGTATCAGTGCATCATAAGTTGATCGAGCTGTGGAAAAGATTACTAACTGATGGCTTGATTACTCAGGTAAGAGTTATCATTGTGCCCGGGGTTTAATGGAACCTAGTCAGCCACACCTTTGATTTTGTTTACATGCGAGAGTTTGGCTATGACATTTTATTCTGAGCATGGCGAAATGAAGGAAATCACTGTAAAACTACTAAAGATAACTAAATATACTTTCAGGAACACAACTTACAGGAAAGCAATAAGATTTCGCTTCAACATGCAATATTAATAACTTCGATGGGATCAAAAATGGCGGAGGCTGACTAGGGTCAGTTAAGGCTTGGATATCAATATAGTTTGATAGGCATGTTGGCCGTGTCAGCGCTATCCTAGTCCTGGAGGTTTTCTTTCTTTTTTCTGTTACTGAGGTGAGAAAGCTGTCGCGGCGATTAAAGCGAACGAGAAAGACTCGTGCGCTGGATTTGTAATCCAGAGGTCTGGGGTTCAAATCTTTCTCTTTGCCTCTAGATGGATTTGTGCTCGTTGGCCCCGAATTCAATTCTTTCAAGTATTGTAAATAGCCGACTTGTCAGCCTCCAACCAGTTGGGATTTTAATTATAAGAAGTTTTCAGCTATTCCTACGATATTTGTTTCTTCATTTACAGTGTCCCCCCCAAAAATTATCACAGAAGTGCTAAATTTCAAGACACTCAAAGAAAGTGATTTATTTATTTATTTATTTACTTATTTATTATTTATTTATTTATTTGTTTGTTTACTCGTTTTGAACGCTTTGCGGTTCGAATATAACTGAGAAAAAGAAAATGGAACACTTGGATGTGTCGGTACCATTTGTGTACACTAAGCGATTTTATTCGCGGAACGCTCAAGAAGCAGCACTGGAAAAATCGGG